TACTAATAATAATAATAATTTTTTAAAAGTTGTCCTACAAAGTTGTTTCAAAAAAGGTTTCTGGTCTAAAAAAAGAAATAATTTAAAAACGTAAAATTATCATTTTGTTCCTAATGTGCAATTTAAATTTACTGTTAAGAAATTAAAGAGTTCAAATCTAGAACATATGCGTATGTATATTATAATAAATTGTAATTTAAATTCATATTAAAACATATAGTCTTTAAACAATAATTTTTTATTTTTTTGGAAATATTTCAATTAATTTATCATTTTGCGACTAGTTCGATTCGGGCGTGTTGAGATATATAGTCTCACATTGATTGTGTGAGCAACTAATATAGCCTTTATAAGGCCTTGAACACTCTCACCTTTTGAGCTAGTTTTTGGGGTGGTGTATCTCAAGGTTCTTTACACGGGACAGGTCTAGGATTAAAGCTTTAAATCTCTTTCTAAGGTGATACTTGAGAGAATCGAATACATACTTTTGTCTCACCTGCTTAGTTCCTACGTGCCAATCGAGTTACTTATCATTTGGTTTTAAACAATAATTTAAACACACATAAAAATGCAGACATTGCACGAGCTACTATCTAATTTTATAATTTCATATTATCTCTTTTCTTTTTGCAGAATTAACATTGGTTGAAGACAATTTTTAGTAAGAGAGAAAAAGTGGATTTTTAAAGATTTGAATATGTACTATTTTCGAGAGAGAAAAAAAATTAGAAAGAAAAAAAAAATCAAATCAAAAACTGAATTGGCAATATTTTAAATTTATAATTTTATGGTTCAAATAATTAAATTTCTTATCAAACCATAAGTAATTCATGGTTGAACTATGTAATATTTGCATTAAAAATATTATCAGTTAATGATCTAAAAAATTAAACGGGATGACCCAATTTAATTTTTAAAATAAATTTTTTAAACAGAGGAAAATTTTAAAATATATTATAATATATAAAAGTAAGAGTTCACTGAAAATCCTTTTCTCCCTTCGAGCATATTTCTTTGAGATTAACGATTCTCATATTATAGGAGATTATCTCTTATAATATGAGAAACATTAATCCTTATTTTTTTTCCTTCAAAACTATTCAATTGATGATTTTTTTTTTAATTCTGTCATTTACTTATTTTTCAAACTTCTTCCAAATCTTTTATTTCTGTAAATTCTTTGTAATCTTTTATATGATTGATTGTTATCAATATATATTCAGATTATAACATCAAATTAATTCAATGGTTGAACTTATATTAGCAAGACATCTTTAAAATATTTGATTCTCTTTGCAAAAGTTTACTAGACATTAACTAACATATTTTTTGCTTGTCTCTTTTGTTTTTTTAGATACTAACTCTAATTACCTCTTTGAGGCGAGTAGGCTTCATCGAATATTCCCATAAACTTCAATTCTTTGAATTGGTTATGAGACTAATTCGAAATACGAGGCGAGTTCGAGATTAAAATCTTATACCCATCTCAAAGGCTTGTCACTTTCTTTGCTATCAGATTTATTATTTATTTTTCTCAAAATGTAGTTTATGTTCAATTCATTAGTGTTTCTTCAATAATGTCTCAATACGAATATTAAATACATAAACATTTGCATCCTTATTTACACAATTACCTGGTTTTCATATGATCAATAAATACATAAACCTGAATACTTAATTTTGGATTTTATCAATTTAGGGATATTTCATTTTATTAATAATCTTGACTTATATGCGGCATTGTCGGAATATTTTTTTTATAGAAAAAAAGCTATTATCTTATAGGGGTGTTCATCAACCGATCCAAACCGATTCAAACCGTGGTGACCGAACTGAAAAACCGATAACCGAATAAAACGAAAACCGAAAAATCAAAAACCGAAAAAAACCGCAAAATTTAATTGGATTGGATCGATTTTTCGGATGGGTTGATGAAAACCGATCCAATATATTAATTTTCTTCTACCTACTTGGGTTTTTCCCTAATCATAGCTCAAAAATTTCTAAATCCAAGACCTGTTAACCCATCAACTACACCCAAGAAAAAACCTAATCACATCTCATCGAAAAAAATTCATTTGTGTAAAGCTTCATATCTCATTGCCCAAAAAAAAAACTATATTATCGTTTACTGATGCTTTTGAATTTCAAAAAAAAAACTTACAAAACCAATATATACAAAAGATGTTATTTGCACAATAATCATGAAACAAATTTTAGAATTTTAAAAAAATCGAAAACCGATCCAATCCAAACCGAAAAAAATTGGATTGGATCAGATCGGATTTGAAAAAAATCCAAACCGAATGGATGATTAAATGATCAAACCGAAGGTATTGGATCAGATGATTTTTGCTTCCAAAACCGATCCAATCCAGACCGCGAACACCCCTATTATCTCGTGTATATGTTGTTTTGACTTATAGCTTTTATGTTGGGAGGACTTAGATAATCATATGTGAGTAAATATATAGTGCACCCGGCTCATGTGAGCCGCCCAAAGACAAGGAAAATGAAAAGAGAGAGAGAATAAGAAGAAAGAGAAAGAGAAAGAGAAAAGGATCAAGGAATTAATTTCCCTGTCCATCACTCATAAATCAAGGATTAGTCTAGAGAAATTTTGTCAATAATAAAAATATTCGAAAAATAATTATCAATATTTATAATTGTTTTGATTAGATATAACCATTATTTTTCACTTATTTAAGGATTTAATGTTTCTATTTTTACTGCACAAAAAATTTCTCTATCACACTCACATAAAAGTGAGTGAGTTCCATTGTAAAGAGAAGAGAAAGAAAATATTGATGGGACCCATTAACTTATATATTAGTGTAACAAAAATTTTTTATCTGTAATAAAAGAAGAAACATTTTTTCTTTATTTGAAATGTTTTATTGTGAAAGTGTAAAATACTGGAGAGAAAAATATTCTGTCTTCCTGGTTTGATATGTACTTTACATACATATATATATATATATATATATATATATATATATATATATATATATAGAGCTTAAAATCTCTGCAGCAGCCGTAGATAATGTTATCTACAGCTGACACAGAAAAGTGGGCCCCACGACTTTAAAAAAAAAAAACTCAGGATCCGTTGCCGTATCCTAGGATCCGGACGTGGATCCTTACTTGCTGTAGGTACAGTAGCTGTAGAAATCATTTTGCTATATATATATATATATATATATATATATATATATATATATATATATGGAGAGAAATCATTTGACTCCAGAGTAAGACTTATAGCTGTTGATTTTTGTCCATCCAACGATTATAGTTTAGGAAATTGTATTAATTAATTAATTATTAATTATACTATAAATGACAACCATTGATTTCCTAACCTATATATATATATATATATATATATATATATATATATATATATATATATATATATTATCAAATGTACAGTGACTGCACATAAGGATTGATGCAGTCATATAAAACTAAGTTGTTTTATAGTGTGAAAGCATTAAATATGGAGAATTATAACTATACAAAAATGAAAATAAATATAAAGCATTGAATATAGGAAATCATAACCATACAAAGATAGAAATAAATATAATATTTTCATTTTCTACAATTAATTTTGAACGCGAACTTCCTTTATCCCATCCGAAACGGCGTAGTTTTTAGGTGATTGCACTAATGCTTATATGCGGTCACATTACAAATTATTTTGCCATATATATATATATATATATATATGGACTTATCGTTTCTCAAGCTGCTTGAGATAATCTTATCTCCGGCTAGTAAATCATAACCGTACAAAGATGGATCAATGGTGATAAAAGAAGAGAGAGAAAAAGAGAATCATAACCATTCAAAGGTGAATCAATTAATATAAGAAAATAAATAAACAAAACGACATAGTTTTGGGGTAGCTGGAGATCAATTTATCTCAAGCTGCTTGAGAAATATTTTTTCATATATATATATATATATATATATATATATATATATATTATTTAAGGGGTTTATGAATGTTATGTAACATAAAGAAGTTTATGTCACACGACAGAGACAACACAAGTGAGTCCCATCAGTTTTTATAAAAAAAAATGATGCACAAACTTGGATTAGTCTTGGGGATGAGAATCAAATATCATGTAACATGATATTTGATTTCCCTATTATTTAATTAGAATAATAAATAGTAAATAATAAGAATTATTTGAGATTGATTATGATATAATCGCTATAAATTTTTATGTTCTTGTATACATAAGTCGTTTAATTAGAATCCTAATAATAACTTCTAATTGGGTCTAATTGAATCGCTACAAATCTGGATATAATAAAGGCAAGAATAAAACAAGGGTTCATTTTTTTAGCGTGAATATAGACAAGTTATTTGCATTAAGTCTAAAATGACGTTATTTTTGTACAAAAATTAAAATATTTTTATAATTATAATTTATTCTAATATTATAATAGAAATTTATTTGCATTCTCTGTAGCAACATTAAAGGAAAAATATCATAAATTAGGCTGAGCTCGTACTAACAAAAAGTTGATATGCTTAGGAATAATGAAATAAATCAAACATTAATTAAAATAAAAAACATTGATATGATTATGAAATAAGATTAATAGAAGATAAAAATTATCTACTATAAATTTAAAATAATGTCCTATTTTTTTTTCTGGTGTTAAAATAACACTATTTTTTATATCATGTCACAAGAGAAATATTTTTTTCTTATAAAATTATATTATATAAAAAAAACAAAAATGTGTTTCTCACGTAACGGTAGGATATTTTAGAAATTTTATGTACTGTTGAAAAAAAGGAATGATTGTATTATATTTCTTGGTTTTAAATTAATAAATAAAAATTGAATAATAAAGATTTGATAAAGATTATTTTTAAATATTAACATAACAACTTGCTAAGATTTAAAAGATATTTTATTTTTTAAAAGATACGTCGTTCCTAACCGAAGCATATTTTATATTGGCCGAATAAACGGCCCAGATTTCATCTTGTGCAAGATCCTCCACTTTATAATTAAAATAAAACCCCTTCTCACCTTCCCAAATCCCAATATTAACAGAAACCGCAAACAGCAGAAGAAGAAGAAGAAGAAATACTGATAAATTTTGCCTCATTGGATTACCATTTCTGTAGCAATTTTCTTCCTCATCTTGATGATCTTCTTCCATCACTGAATAATCTCCGATAATTTCTTCCGTCCCTGTGTATCTGCATCGCCATGATCTCAGTGCATGGCGACCGCCACCACCACACTGGTTCGGCTGCCACATCTCGGCCGCTGTTCACCGGAGATCGCATTGAGCCGTTCTCCAATAAGCCCGAGCCTTCCTCGCGCAGTCTCCTGGCGTTGAATGGTCATGATTCTACTGAAGGTTCATTTTAATCCGAAATACGATTAACTGATTTATTTATTTTTTCAGTTATATATCGTCATTGTCGTTACTGTTCTTGTTAAGTTATTTCAGCCAGAGGCTCGTCGTTCAGGTCGTTTTGCCCTCTATGCGCGCCAAAAAGAATGTATTTTAATTTTGGATTCAACTACTGTTGGAAATCATAGCCTCTTGGTCCCGAGATTCTGTTCTGATTTAAATACTCGAATAATAGTGTGTTCGAGCTGAAAATAAGTTTATAGTATGTTGATATTTCTTTTGCGGAATCTCGTATAAAATATGTATATCATGGTTAGGGTTTTAATAAGGCATGTTGTTACAACCGATTTGACCAAAGAATTGCTATTAGAATATTGCTGCTGTTATATTAATTAGTGGGTAGTTATTTATTTGTTTTGTTGTTTGAATTTCAATTTTGCTAAAGGATGGGTCATGGATGTTAGTGGAGCCTATTTAGCTGTTATTGAGTAGTTATTTTTATATTAGTGGTTGGCTTGTATTATCTATTTAAACCTTGAAGTATTTAAATAAAGGGCATGAACAAAAATTATTTGGAAAACACTATGTGGTGCAAGTGGTCAAGCTTCCTTAAAAAAGCAACCCTTCTATTGTTATTTTCCTTGTGCTATTTTCTACCAAGATAGGTAAAAAAGGTCAGAATAAGCCCTTGTATGTAGAATAAGCACAGGCATGGACGAACGTGTGGAGAGATTGGAAGATACGGTCTAGTCTTTGTTAGAGTAATTTAAGGAGATGTTTGCTTAACTTTCCAATAGGTTGGATGTTGTGGCCACTACACCAACACATTAGAAAAGGGATCATACTAGAATCAGTATGAACAATGAACCAAACACTGCTCCCACAATGCATCGGGTTTGCACACAACATACGCACCCAAGGTGGTGAAGTTGGATATTTTGTGATTCGATGATAATGAAGACCCAACAAGTTGGCTATGCCAGGCTAAGCAATTTTTCCAATATCATCGCACCTCAGAAGAAGAAAGAGTTCCACTGTTGTCTTTCCATCTCACTGGAGATGCTCTGTTGTGGTACCAATTACTCATCCAAGACCATCCGAATATCACTTGGTTGGAGTTTCACGATGAAATATTGCAACGTTATGGCGCCAATCAAGTTGTTGATTTCTTTGGGGAATTGACCAAGTTGCAGCAACACAGTAAGGTGCAGGAATACCAATGCCAATTTGAGAGGTTTCTTTCCAAGGTGGGACGATTGGAGATGGTCAAGGTAGGTAAGTTGCTTCATAAGTAGATTCTCTAAGACACTTAAGGTGGATTTGCAGGCCCTGCAAATCGGCCTACTTCTCTATCTTATGCTATTGGGCTTGCCAAATTCTAAGGGTGACAATTTTCAACACGATCCACTGACACGATACGAATACAACTCGAAAAATTTGTGTTCGGGTCAACCATTTTTCAAATTTGTGTTGTGTTAGGGTTGGCAAAAAATGACCGAAAAGATTCGTGTCGTGTCGTGTGTCAACCCGCGTACCCGAAATTGACCCGCATTAATTATCTTACAGGTTATTCGTGCTATGTCGTGTCGTAAACAGGTTATTTGTGTCTTACTGTGTTGTGTCGACCCGCATAATAGCACAATTTGTGGTTGACAGGTTATTCGTGTCATGTCGTGTCGTGTCAACCCACATAATAAGCGATACACTACGAGTTTGCAGGTTATTCGTGCATGTCATGTCAACCCGCAAAATAAGCAAGTCGTGTTCTTGTCGAATGTTTTAACCCGATTTTAAGTTCGTGTTGAGTGTATTCGTATTTGTGTCGACCAAAATCGCCACCCCTACCATATTGTGTAAGACCCAAAATAACAAGGATTATAGAGGTTGCAAAGCAAGTAACCCGACCCGCCCTGCTTTTGAAAGTGGGTTGGAAATTTTAACCCACCCTACCCGCCTCCAACCCACCCCGCCCTGCCAATACGCCAACGTATTGAAAAAGTGAAATTTTTTTAAAAATTATACTCGCCATAGATATAAAAAGTATTAAATGAAGACAAAAGAGGTATAAAAAAAATCATGAATTAATATTTTTAAAAAAAATTAAAAATTAAAAATTAAAAATTAAAAATTAAAATTAACCCTACGGGACAACGTGCCCCACCACGGTTTGAACCCGTTTTGTCCCGCCCTTAAGTTGGGCGAGTTGGAAATCCCATCCTAACCCGCTATTTATGGTGGGTTAAACGGGCCAACTCGACGGGTTGGACCAGTTTTGCCACCTCTAGGAATCCCTAACACTGCAAGTCCCTCCCCTTCCACCATTAATAACCTAACTCAGAACCAAAACCTATTGGTCAAACGATTGCTCTTTGATGAAATCTTGGAATGATGACGAAAGGAAGTTCTTTCAATTTAATGACACTTGTGAACTTGGCCACCACTGTAAGAAGTTGTTCGCGATTCACCGTCATGGAGGGTAGTGACTGAGAAGTTGATATGGAACTGGAAGAAAAGCCCCTCGATAGGGGAAAGCAGAAGTAAAAGGGACAAGATTGGATGGGACAGAGAATTGTTATAGCCGATTTGACCAAGTCAGGGAATTGCTACTAGAATATTTCTGTTGTTATTTTAATTAGTGGGTAGTTATTTATTTGTTTGTTTTGTTATTTGAATTTGCCTATATAGTGTTAGGGGTAGTTATTTTTATGTTACTGGTTGGCTAGTGTTATCTATTTTAATCTTGAAGTATTTGAATAAAGGGAAGCAGAAAAACTTATTTGAAAAGCACCGTGTTCAAGAGGTTAAGCTTCCTCAATAGACCTTCCCTTCTATTTGTTATCTTCCTTGTGCTATTTTCTGCCAATATAGGTAAAAAGGGCCAGAACAAGCCCCTGTATGTACCACATGTCTAACCCTGAATATTCTTTATTTGACATTTTCAATCTAATATATTTCTGATTGTGATCCGAAATAGACTATGTTCTTACCTTTTAGTGTTTTTGTTTTTGGGTGAACCAATTAGAAAAACTGTTATTATCTCTTCTGCTATTGAGTCAGAGGACTAATAGTTTTATGTATACTTTCCCTTTTATGCAAAATTGGCGCTAATTATTATAATCTTTATATTTTCTTTCCGCAGGTGCTGACTTGCATTTATCACTTGCACACCAAATGTACAAGGCTGGCAACTATAAGCAAGCGCTAGAGCATAGTAACTCTGTCTATGAGAGAAATCCACTACGCACTGACAACTTATTGCTCATGGGTGCAATTTATTACCAGGTTTCCTTATCTGCCAGTTTTTGGACCATTTTTTTAGGATGCTTAGCATTAGCTTGTAGTTCTTTTGTACTGCATTCTCAACTTGTGGTACTATTTGTGTGCAGTTGCATGATTTTGATATGTGTATTGCAAAAAATGAAGAAGCACTTAGGATTAAGCCACAATTTGCTGAGTGTTATGGGAACATGGCAAACGCATGGAAAGTAAGTAACCACTGCTGCTAACCTGGTCTGACTATGATGGAACTTGTTCTACTATTTTTTATGCTGTTGGAGGATGACATGCATTTTCTATAGAATTAATAGTTTTCTTTTGTGATTTTAATATGTGCAGGAAAAAGGAAACATTGATCTTGCAATTCACTACTACGTGCTTGCCATCGATGTCAGTGTGCAATTCAGGACCTATAATATTGTTTATACATGTTTTTTCTCTTATCAATTGTCTTATGAACTTATACATTCTTGTAGTCTAGTTTTTTTCGTTTCTTTATTTTCACTCCTCTAAAATGTTTTAGTTTAGTTCTAATGTTTCTACAAGAAAGTTCCTATTATTTGTGTCTGGAAACTGAAAGCACATTTATGATGACATACCTTTTATAAATTCAATTCTATTATGAATCTGATTCTGTTTATTATTTTTTTGGTTGGCTATCATAATATCTTCCTTTGTTGATTTTCAGTAAAATCAATATTTTCTTAAGATTGCACAGGTCTCAGTCTTATAATTGATGTAAAATTTTATCATATATGCCCCTTGCAAGTAAGCAACAGAACCAATGGGTGTTCTCAGGTTTAAATTTTTAAGTTTATTTTTTTGGGTCTTTAATTGTTTGTTTCTTTTTCTTCTTCTTCCTCTTCAATCAGTTTATTCTTATTCAATTACACAACATTTAAGAAGACCCTAACGGTCCCCCCCCCCCCCCCCCCCTTTTTTTTTTAACTAATGCTACTCCTTATCTTCTCGGCCCACATGGCTAGCCCTTTGCTTATTTCTTCTCTTATACATATGAATTATTGGTGGTTTCCTTACAATATCTTAGATCACCTTTATGCCTTAAGCACCATGTCACAGTCAAATCTTCTTACTACTTACAACTGCAATTTTACATTGATTTTGGTCACTTATTGAGTCAAACCCCCGTTAATACTCACAATTTTTTTGAGGATTTTCGGAGGGAATCATGTTCTTCCTGCAATCAGACGACTGTCTTCCAAATGAAACTAATTATGTTCAAACTAACAAAATATGTATTTCTTCTCTTAAAGCTGCTGTTCTGCACTCTAGTTTAGTTTTAAACACATGCATTTTGTTGCATTTGGGCTGAGTAAATCACAGGGTTTCACATGATATAATAAACGTTACATGAAATTCGTCTGCTATGATCCTCCAATCTTTTTGTTATATGCATTTCTTTCCATGTCTAGTAGTTTTCCCCCTCTCATTTGTTGCAATTTTTCCTTTATGTCCTTTCCTGTCTGTTATTATGTCATCCTGGATTAGATCATTTATCTTTGTTTTTGTTCTGTTGTTGTAGGTTAATCCCAATTTTTCTGATGCATGGTCAAATTTGGGTAGTGCATACATGAGTAAAGGAAGACTTGCTGATGCATCACGGTGTTGTCGCCAAGCACTAGCTATAAATCCTCTAAAGGTATCTGTAATACCCCATATTTTTATTAACTTTAATCTTATGCTTTTTAGTTAATTTGAGGAGCTCAAACTTTTAAGTTTCGAGGACGAAACTTCTTTTAAGGAGGGTAGAATGTAATACCCCATATTTTTATTAATAAAATAATAATAATAATAATAATATAATAATTTTTTTATGGATAATAATGATATTTAGTATTTTTGTAATTAATAATATTGGTATTTAATATTTTTAATTAATGAGTTAATAATAGTTAAAATAGTAAGAGGTAAGATAATAATAATAGTAATATTATTTGGTTTATGTGATAATATATATAAATATATATATATATATAAATATATATATATATATATATATATATATATATATATATATTAGATGATAAATCATGATTAATTGATTTATTAATTGATTGGTGATTTATGCATTAATGTTTGATTGGATTAGGATGAGTCAACAAACATAAATTGTTTAGATATGATGAGTCAACAAACATAAATTGTTTAGATATGATGAGTCAGCATTGAGTCAGTAATGTATAAGCCCAAAACTTCAACTATAAATAGAGACCTAGCCTAACCAAACCAATTCACTCTCCTCTACTACTCTCTCTCTTCTCACTCCAAAAAGTTTATTTTAATTATTTTCAATCTTTATATTTTTTTTGATTATCAACCGGTTCTCTGTCCCAAATTACTCTTCTCTTCTAGAAGTTAGCAAAAACGGAGACCAGGTAATCCTAATCCCTAGAGAGTCATAGATTATATTGATATGAATTTTGGTATATGTAATCCTATTCGTAGGTTATTTCTTTTATATAAAACTTGGATGTAATCCTAATCCCTAGGTATTTTTAGATTATATTTTATGTGAAATTTGGTATACGTAATGCTCTAGGTGAATGTAAGATAGTTTTATATTAAATTTGTTGAATGTAATCTTAATCCTTAGAAAATTTTAGGATGTTTTCATGTATTATATGTAACCCTTAGGGTATTTAAATTGTTATGCAGAAGGCATAGAGTGTAATCTTTTATTCTCCTTTTCTATTCCTTTTCACATTGTGGTTCATTTGTTTTGGTGGTGATTTATAATTGTTTATGTAATCTTGTCTCTGTGTAATACAGGTTGATGCCCATATCAACTTGGGGTATCTAATGAAAGCTCAAGGGTTGGTGCAAGAAGTAAGTCCTGACATTTGATATGCATTTTTTATTTTCATTTTATTTCTATACTTAGTAATACTTTTGACATTTTTATCGGACCTGTAATTTAGCTTCTTGTAATATGAAATCTTCTAGCTTGGGAGATTACACTATTTTAAATGACCTTTATGACAAAGTGCAACATTTCTAGAATCGGATTTTTGTGCACCACATCATATTGCTTTAGCCAATATAGCTTCTCTTAAGAGCAATTGGGCTCCCTCTTTGGGATGATTCTCTACTGGATTCCCCAGTACTAGCTCTACCACTTCCTGTTCCATTAGTTTTTCCTCGTTGGAGATTATACTTTTTTAAGAACTTTTCTTTCACAGTGCTTCTTATCCAGACTTAGGTGTACTGCATGTCCAAATGTGGTTGCTAGAGCCAGTACAGTTTCTTGATTGTAATTTGGTTTTCTTGTTTGAGCTATTTCTCCTGATAGAGACCAACAACTCAAATACAGAAATAACACAAAGAACAAGGACTTTGGCCTGAATAATCAGATTTTATATATTCATCAAGAGACAATTCAAATGATAGTGAAACAGAGACAATTACAGAACAAGGAAAAATTACAATGAACATGGAAATGAAATAACAATGTAGAAATGTAAAAGTAATGTGAGACAATTGGAGAGGCCTCACTCTCTCCCAAGTTCCAATCCCAATTCCAGAATCTCGATGCCTTTACCATGCTACCTTCCCTATATATAACTAACTCAAGGTCATCTTGCATTCCATTCTGTTACGGGGTAATTTGGGAAACTCTTAGCTGACGTGGCAGCAGCTGTGTATTAGTTAAATACCCCTAAGGGGTGGTATCGTATCACTCTACCACTTCCAGTTCCATTAGTTTTTCCTCGTTGGAGATTATACTTTTTTAAGAACTTTTCACAGTGCTTCTTATCCAGACTTAGGTGTACTGCATGTCCAAATGTGGTTGCTAGAGCCAATACAGTTTCTTGATTGTAATTTGGTTTTCTAGTTTGAGCTATTTCTCCTGAATGAGTGGCATCCTTATGCATTCTGCAGTCCATTCCCATCTCCCATTTCTTATAGCGAGATAAAAAAAATAGTGGCTTTGTGCTTTCCAGGAGTACTTAGTATTTTAACCCTACATCCCCTGTTTACATTTTAGTGTTACTGATTTAAACAATTGGTGCATGAAAATGTGTTCAAATTCACAGTTCGATTCAGATATCAAGTTGTTGTCCACAAGCCAGGCTCAGATGATGGTTGATCTTCTTGTAACTTCCATATGCACGACTGCAAATAGTCAGAATCTAACATTTTGTGCAGGCATATAGTTGTTACATTGAGGCATTGCGCATTCAACCTACCTTTGCTATTGGATGGTCAAATCTTGCCGGTCTGTTCATGGAGTCTGGTGATTACAAGAGAGCCCTTCAGTATTATAAGGTATGTATCTTACATTACCTGCCTAACTGAAATTCTTAGACTTTTGACACAAGGGGGCAGTGCATCAGATTGCCTAACCAGGGACAGTTTTCCATATTATATGCTAGTAATGGTGCGCATTTCCTAAATGTTTTGCATTTTCTGCTATGTTCCTGATGCTGATATAATCAGATATAACTGCTTAAACAATTCTATCAGCTATATGATCTAATTTTATTTTATTTTTTAAATATTTTCAGGAAGCATTGAAACTCAAACCTTCCTTTCCTGAAGCATTTCTGAACCTGGGGAATGTATACAAGGTAAGCTGTTAAGCAAGATGTTAGCTTCATAGGTTGGATGCAACTAGTACCTTGATTGTAATTGGAGGAACCATGAAAGTTTTCCTTTATCAGGCTTTGGGGATGCATCAAGAAGCTATTGCATGTTACAAACATGCTCTTCAGACACGACCAAACTATGCTATGGCTTATGGTGAGTTCTGTTGTTCTATATCTGTTTCCTGCTAGTTTTATTTCTTTGTAAAACATTAGTGTATATAGCTTACCCTTTTTTCCTTCTTTAAAAAGTCTGGCTTTGGTGTTCTGTGTATTGTTAGCCATGACCTTCTGATAATCATGTTGTGGATAATCAGTTTAATTAAAAAAAAGGATCTTATGAATACTCAGTTATATAAACAATTATACAACTGTAAGTCGTGGACTATTTTTTTCTAAAATCACTTTAATAGAGATGACACAACTTCAATGGGGGCATTGACATATTATAACATAATTTCTTTTGCGGTTTTGCATTACATATGTGTGTGCCTGCATGTGATATTTTATTTTCATGACTTTAGCTCAATTCAGGAAATTAATGGCTTGCAGAAAAAATAAAAATAAAAAAAACTTCCTTTATGTTGCCTTGACTTCTGGTCTCTGGCCTGTTTTGTTCAATGCATATGACTACAACTGCTTCTTACTGCAGAGTTTCTATTTAAACCCAAATCGATTTGCATGATAAGTGTTAAGAATGGACAATAACAATGTAAAAGATTATAACAATCACATCCAGCTGTCTACTGTCCTAAGGCTGATCCAAATATGCTTTTCACATGGCATTATGCTTGTTTACAATTTACAGTCTAGTAAACTCGACCTCTGCTAAATTGCTAATTATTTTGAGCATACTGTGTTTAAAATGGGGGAATAGGTAATTTGGCCGGTACATATTATGAGCAAGGGCAACTGGATATGGCAATTCTACACTATAAGCAAGCTGTTTCTTGTGACCCCAGATTTTTGGAAGCTTACAATAGTTTGGTAGGTTTTATTGTTTTCACACAGTATAGTTTGGATTTTGGAAATAGCCTAAATTTGAGATTTTACGTGCAACTGTTTAATATTTTCTTTGATTTTCTTTTTCCACATGTAGGGAAATGCGCTAAAAGATGTTGGCAGAGTGGAGGAAGCAATCCAGTGCTTCAATGTATTCTTTTTGACTTTTATGCATTACATTTATTTTTAAATTTTTATGCCTTCATTATATTTCCATCCTACTCAACTTACACTATTGTGTTGTGAAGCAATGCCTTGCCTTGCAATCTAACCACCCTCTAGCACTGGCCAATCTTGGAAATGTATACATGGGAAGGTATGTGGTCCCCATATCTTCATGTTAATGTTAATAATTCTGTTGGACTGGAATAATTGCTGTTTTGCAGGAACATGATGTCTGCTGCTGCTTCATATTACAAGGCTACACTAAGTGTGACTACTGGATTGTCTGCTCCTTATAACAACCTCGCCATGATATACAAGCAGCAGGTGTTAAAAATTTAAAATTTAGACTAAAATTCCATCTCAGTTGATACTAAAGTTAATGCCTTAACAGGGTGTTTTTGTGTTAGTGTTGGTAGCTTGTTGGGCTTGCTCTATGTATGCTTTGTGGGGTGTTTTTCTTTGATTTGTTTTGGTTGGGGGGGGGGTGGGGGGGGGGGGGGGGGGGGGGGGGGGCATATCGTGCTACAATGAGGTTATCCGCATTGATCCCTTGGCAGCTGATGGGCTTGTATATAGGGGCAATACATATAAGGAGATTGGTAGAGTTAGTGAAGCTATTCAAGATTATATATGTGCAATTACTGTCAGGCCCACTATGGCTGAAGCCCATGCTAATTTGGCTTCAGCATATAAGGACAGGTATACTGACTTTAAGTTTTGCTTCTTGTTGGGGAAACCCATATCACTATTACTTTAGAAACTATATAATTCCAAAACATTGTTAGCAGTGCCCCCGAAATCAAAATACCTTTTTTTCCTGATATTGAGGTTGAGCCATTGAACTTCTTACATCTTTGAGTTTATTTTTATTTTTTGGGCTGTTATTTACATGTTCTGTGTCAGAAATTTTGAAGCTTCTTTTTGTATTGTTTGGATTTTGAACCCCTTCCATTTTCCTCACTCTAATCAAAGAATTGACTTCTGGAAATACTAGCTCCAGAGACTGGATCATATACTCGAAACTCATCTTTTTTAATTATTGCAGTGGGCATGTAGAGTCTGCTGTGAAGAGTTATAGACAGGCATTGATTCTTCGTCAAGACTTTCCTGAAGCAACTTGTAATCTCCTACATGCACTTCAGGTATTGTATGTTATGCATTTGGTGGAGCATCTTTTGATAGAGAACTTTCACGTTTGCCTCAGCATGAGTTTATTCTTGGTGATTTATGTCCTAATACACAATCCATACATTTGTAAAAGAATTTGTTGCGAAATCGGCAAGTATACCGTTCGTTTCAAGTAATAAAAGTGATAAGTAAAGTTCATTCCCTCGAGGATTAATGCACCAAATACTAAATTAACTCTTCCCCTTAATTTGGAAAAACTCGGTTTGATTGTGAAAATATTTGTCAACAGAAGTTTAATGACAATGAGAATCAAACGCATTTAGGAAATATCAAGAACATCAAAGAAAATGTGAATAATTGAATTTGTAAAAGAACTGCAGCCAGGATGCACTTCACCTCTGATCCTCCTTTATATTCTTAAATTGAATTTTATAACTAACTAATTTATTAGCTCAGACAATTCATTATTTCCCTATTAAATAGTTGAACCCTAATGTCTTAGTGTTTTCAACCCTTTAACCCAATTAGAATCCTAGTGTCCTAGTAATTCCTCTTGAATTAAGCTTTAAGCAAATGAATTAAACAGTTTGCAATCTATATAAGCCTATGTCTAGATCATACACAGATTGTTATTCTACCCTTGTCTAGATTAAAATTCCAATATTACTATTGTGAGCTCTAACCCTCAAAACCCTATAATAGAGTGATCAATTCTACAAAGGATGTGGAAAAATTAACACAGGCAGAATAAAACTAACTAAATTAAATTAATTATAAAAACAATTTAAAAATTAAAAAGGATTCACATTGGATCCGTGATCCCAACTACAAAAAGAAAACTAGCTAGACATATCTGGCTTTAACAAATTAAAATAGTAAAAAGAAATCATAACAAAGAAAGAAAAGAAAAAGATGAAGAAGAAAGATCAATGGTCTTCAATCTTCAAGTTCTCCGGAATCCTGATCTCCAGCGTGAGTCTCCTCTGAATATTGCTGCCTCTGTCGAATTACTGGTTTGTCATCTTTCTTTTTCTGAACCACCTTCGGCTTTTCTTAAGGAGTAATCACAATTCCGCTTCTTGTAACAATTGAGTTGCAGTCTTCTCGTGGATTGACTATAGTGTTACTTGGAAATTGACCTTTATTTCTCTCATCAAGCTGCCTAGACAATTGGCCTATCTAATTCTCCAAGTTCCGGATGGAAGCATCTTGATTCTTATGATAGGCTCGTGTCTCATTTATGAAAGCATCAATGGTCTGGATATGGTCATTGGTGGTTTTAGAAAGCTGCAGCATTGCTTTCTTCAATTCAGACGGCTCCTTATGTGGAATAGGAGGAGGTTGTAAGTAATTGTTGGATTTGTAATCCAAACCTCCCCCTTGAACTCTCCTTTGGAAGTTGCTTCCTTGAGCATTGTTCTGATTCCTCTGGAAGTTCTGCGGTGGTCTTGGATCATACCAGACTCCATTAACTTGAAACGGCTCAGATCCGACAAGTGTTGGGCACTCGTTAGTCTCATGCTCTCCTTTGCAATACTCACAATTAACTGAATTAACTTGAGCTGTAGAGACTTGCATCTTGTCCAACTTAGCATTCATACTGGCGAGCTGTTGAGTTATGATCTTATGTTCAGCTAAAATAGCATCATTATTCCCCAATTGAAGAAGTCCCTTCTTAGGTTGAACTGCCATAGATGCATTCTCGTTCTTTGCCATGTAGTCAATCGGCTCTAAAGTTTGAGCTGCTGTCTTCTTCCCTATGGTTCCACCAGCTGCACCATTGACAACCATTCAGGAATCTGGTGTCATCCCATTGTAAAAGACCCTGACTTTCTTACCGTCTGGCAAATCATACTAGGGGCATTTTCTGATCAGTTCTTGAAATCTGGTCCAAGCTGCACATAGAGTTTCTCTTGGTTGCTAAGTGAAGTTGGTAATTTCATTAACCAACTTGTTGTATTTCTACATGGAAAAGTGTTCAGCAAAGAACTTGGCTGCCAGATCGTCCCATGTTCTGATATTGTTGGGGCTTATCTATCCAACCATCTGAGGGTTTTCCCTGTTACAGAAGGAAACAATCGGAGTCTAATTGCATCATCTGATACTCCGTGGTGCTTGGAATTTTAATCTAGACAAGGGTAGAATAACAATTTGTGTATGATCTAGCCATAGGCTTATATAGATTGCAGACTGTTTAATTCATTTGCTTAAAGCTTAATTCAAGAGGAATTACTAGGATTCTAATTGGGTTAAAGGGTTGAAAACACTAAGACATTAGGGTTCAACTATTTAATAGGGAAATAATGAATTGTCTGAGCTAATAAATTAGTTAGTTATAAAATTCAATTTAAGAATATAAAGGAGGATCAGAGGTGAAGTGCATCATGGTTGCAGTTCTTTTACAAATTCAATTATTCACATTTTCTTGATGTTCTTGATATTTCTTGAATGTGTTTGATTCTCATTGTCTTTAAATATCTGTTGACAAATATTTTCACAATCAAATCGAGTTTTTCCAAATTAAGGGGAAGAGTTAATTTAGTATTTGGTGCATTAATCCTCGAGGGAACGAACTTTACTTATTACTTGAAACGAATGGTATACTTGCCGATTTCGCAACAAGTTTTTAGCGCCGTTGTCGGAAATTATAAAATCAAGATTTAATGGAGTGAGATATAGATTGGCGGATGGTATGCCTTAGAACGGAATGGAGAAAAGCTATAAGCATGGTGGAGGGTTAGACCCGTTGTTATTCCTATGTTCCAGATGGTCCTTTTTTAGTCCTTTTCCTCTTCATTTTCCCCTCTTCTTCTTTTTCCTTTCTTTTTTACTTATATATATATATATATATATATATATATATATATATATTACTATTTTATTTATTTATTTCTATTTTTTTTTATTTTTAATTTTTCAACCTTTTTGTATCTTTTATTTGGGCTCATCTACCACCGACCCCAATTAATTTGGGATAAAGGGTGCTGTTGATGTTGATGTTGATGTTGACACAATCCATACATTTAAGTGGCCATTGGGGTTGGTAGGTTTCACATAAATAGTATTGGTACGGTCATGCATGAAGTCATAATTTGAATCATGCCATCTACGTAAGTATACGTTGTGGCCCCTCTATTATTGGTAAATACCTTATTTTTGGCTTTTGTATCTACCTTTGATAATTGATATCACTCCATCTGCTCGTATGCACACAGTGGAAAATTAATGTTTATACATTTCTCTGCTTATGTGGGATTATCTGATGTATATATGTTTATTGTAGTTTCCACAATGCTTTGATTTTCTAATTTCATGAACCAAGTGCGGTTAATATGACATTTTGAAGTAATATAGTTTATAATTTTTTTGGCATCAATTGGTTAAATCTGTCATCATGTTGCAGTCTGTCTGCAGTTGGGAGGATCGTCATACAATGATCGGTGAAGTGGAAGGGATTATCAGGAGGCAAATTAATGTCAGGATCAATTCATTATCTATTTTAATCTTCTTAATCAAATATATGATATGGTGCACATATGGTTGTGTTGAACTTGAAAATGGTTCAATTGTTATCATCTTCTGTTTAATAGATGTCAGTTCTTCCTAGTGTCCAGCCATTCCATGCATTAGCATATCCATTTGACCCAATGCTTGCTCTGGAAATCAGGTATGATTTTTTAACTAGACATATCCAATATAGAAAGGAAACTGTGCTAAAATAAATTTGTTTTCCTTTGTTTCGTAATATGTTTTTCGCTCACTGTTTGCAGTCGTAAATATGCTGCACACTGCTCCTTAATTGCATCTCGTTTTGCTCTTCCTCCGTTCAGCCATCCTCCGCCTATTCCAATCAACAATGAGGGAGGATATGAGAGACTTAGGGTTGGGTAAGTTCTAATTTCTTTACTAGTATCTATATTTCTCTCTCCCAAACTTTTTTGGTATATTTTCTCTTTTTATATTTTAACTATGGGAATCTCTTTGTTTTGAGATGTAGGTATGTGAGTAGTGACTTTGGTAATCACCCCTTGTCACATCTCATGAGATCTATTTTCGGCATGCACAACAAGAAAAATGTTGAGGTATAAACTTGGTTTAATTCAATCCGTGTCTTCTTCCTTCTATTTTTGGTTTGTACTTAATGGTCTATATATGTAGGTGTTCTGCTATGCCTTGAGTCCAAATGATGGTACTGAATGGAGACAAAGTATTCAGTCTGAAGCAGAGCACTTTGTGGATGTATCTGCCATATCATCTGATACCATAGCAAAAATGATTAACAAGGATAAGATACATATACTTGTCAACCTTAATGGTTACACAAAGGTTGCTTCTTATCTGGAAGCCATTCTTGTGTGATTTTTGTAGTAAATCAAAATTCATTATAAATTTGATTTTTATAAAATCAAAATCGTTGGTTTATATTATTTGTGTACAACATTTGACAGCAATATTTTTTTGTGTGAAACCTGAATTGTTGTTTGCTTGATGTTATTGTCCTTGTTTTGTTGCAGGGTTCCAGAAATGAGATATTTGCTATGCAACCTGCCCCAATTCAAGTTTCATATATGGGATTCCCGGGGACAACAGGGGCTACTTACATAGATTACTTGGTCACCGATGAGGTGAGACACTCAACGTAGTCCATCAAAATAGAGAGCTTATTGTTTTTTCTTTGGACTCAGCTGACATTTATTCTTATTTTTCTTTTTACTTCTAATTTTTCTTATAGTTTGTTTCACCACTACGGTTTGCGCATATTTATTCTGAGAAGCTCGTCCATCTTCCCCATTGCTACTTTGTAAATGATTACAAACAGGTTTTTTTTAACTCAGAAGGGAGAACTTTTTGGATTCAATTCATTGATTCGTGTGTTGTTTGTTGTGTGTTTAGATGCATGGCATTGATTTTATTGTTGTGCTGCATAATTTGTTTGCTCAGAAAAATCAGGATGTTTTAGATCCAAAATGCCAGCACAAACGATCAGACTATGGTTTACCTGAAGATAAATTTTTATTTGCATGCTTCAATCAACTGTACAAGATGGATCCCGAAATCTTTAATACATGGTAATGTCAGCATTCTCTTTATCGCTTGGCTAGATAAAAAATGATTGCTCAACTATTTCTTTTCATGTCTTTCATAAAAAACCAAGCCTTATAGGGTTGGCTGCATGGATCAATAACACTATTGTGCTCTATCAAAAGAGAAATTCTTGTATAGACCCTGTCTACATACTGTCTGTGTACTAAACCAATCAATAATTGGGAAATTATCACTTTAAATGTAAAATAATTGTGTGGCTCAAGAATTTATGTAATAATTTAATATAAAATGATGTGTTAATTGCTAATTTGTTTAGTCTCCACAACTTGTGTGGATGAGGTCTAAGAATTTCTCCTATTTGAAACCATCCTTTTCATTTATTCTATTTTTCCGCAAAATTGGTTAATTGTTCATTTATTCTATTTTTCTCCTATGGTTGTCTGCTCTTAGGTGCAATATTCTTAAACGAGTACCCAATAGTGCACTTTGGCTCGTGAGATTTCCTGCAGAAGGTGAAATGAGACTGAGGGCATGTACGTGGGTTTGTTTAATGACCTGCTTTTGTAAAAGTTATGTGATTGGTGTTGTCTGGTTCATTTTTATTATTGCTCCAATGGGCATTGGGCATTGGCCTTGCGGATACTCATGGCACCTTTTACTATCTCTTTTTTTTTTATTTGCTGCATAATTGTAATACTTAGTGTAGCAGCTTTTGGTGAAAAAATTTCCTCCATTTTGGTCCTCCTTTCTGATCAGTGGACTTCCTTTAGATGCTGCTGCACAAGGGGTACAGCCAAATCAGATTTTTTTCACTGATGTAACAATGAAGAATGAACACATAAGGCGAAGTGCTCTAGCAGACTTATTTCTTGACACGTAATTTCATCTCTACTTTTTGTCTCGCTTCTTTACATTTGCTGATTCCCCCTCCCCCTTATTTTTCTGTTGTAGTTTTAGTTGTTTACTTTATTTTTTTACCTTTTAATATGCTGGTTATGTTTTCTTTTAGGCCTTTATGCAATGCACATACAACAGGAACAGATATATTATGGGCAGGTTTGCCGATGGTGACTCTTCCTCTTGAGAAAATGGCTACTAGAGTTGCTGGGTCACTCTGTCTTGCCACGGGACTTGGGGAGGAGATGATTGTTAGCAGGTGAGTACTTGTTTGTATTTGATTTTAAAGTAAACCTCATTTTCTTCGCCAAAGATACAAGCACTATTACTTTATTTTTAGAAAGACTTTTATCATCTATTTAGTGCCTCAATAACTTAAAGGGTCATCATTTTTGTCTTTCTGTTACCCTCCATTGGAAGGCTGTCTAATAGACGTTGAGGTGGCCAGTTATCTGCTTGTGTGGATGCTGATGTAGCCTGTCATCTCCTTGTCATTTTATTGTCCATTATAGGGCCTTCTGGCAGAGGGTATCACTGTAACAGATGGTAAAAAATGATGACACTTCAAATTATTACTAAATTGATGTCAGAAATTGTTTGAAATATAAAGTGATGACACTTGTATCTTAGGAGGACGAAAATGGGAGTTTACTCTTGATTTTACTTTTGTGCTGGTTGAGTTCTCTTGAAGCTTGGTATCATGATCCTCTTTTAAAGATTAGTATAGTGCAAATGTTCTTATGGCTGACATTATTGCTGGCAAAATGGTAGTACTTTCACTGAACAATCTACTTTTGGGGTAAACTTTGCATAAATTGATGTTTAAAATCAAATTTAGTCAAATCAGATGTGCTGCTGTATTCTGTTTATTTTATCTACATATTATTTCGATTATTCAGCTTTGAAGTGCTTTGCTTTATTGTCTTTTTTCTTGAAATATTTGTTGTCTGTTATTTGACAGTTATTTGCTATTTTCCTGTTTCATGTGTTTATGTCGTAATATATGATGGAAGATATTTCTTTAATTTTGAACTAATTGTTTTTTGAAACCATTTAGCATGAAAGAGTACGAAGACAAGGCAGTATCGCTGGCTTTGAATCGCGCAAAGCTTCAAGCTCTTACTAATAAGCTCAAAGCAGTCCGCATGACTTGCCCTCTGTTTGACACAGCCCGCTGGGTGAGTTTGATATGTATTTTATATGATCTGTGGCTTTTCCCTTGTCTGTACGGTGAAATATTAAGTTATTCTGAATGGTTGTTGCAGGTGAGGAATCTCGAAAGAGGATATTTTAAAATGTGGAATTTGCATTGCTCTGGTCAACGTCCTCAGCATTTTAAGGTCACTGAAAATGATCTGGAATGTCCTTATGATAGATAGATCTAGGAATTAGATGGGAGTGTAGATAAGAAATCAAGAGAAAGTAGTAATTACTTGCAATGTGGATGGATTCCGAGTAATTCAGGTCAGAACAATTGTGTCCTACTTTTACCTATTAAAGAAAATATTTGCTTCTTAAATTTTGCCATGCTTTATTTTTTGGACTATATTTTTCTCATGTTATATGAGATAACATTGTCTTACGTAGAGACATAATTAGGTATGTCTCACAACTAAAAAAAAGAAAAAAAGAAAAAAAAATGTTGCTTGGATTTCATTGGATGTGTAACATGAGATAAACTTTTTTATGTAACATGAGAAAAACATTTCTCTTATATTTTATAGAAAAAATGACAAACACTTTTCTTTTTTTTACATGGGAGTTTGTTTTGTCTTTAGAAATACTACCGGGCTTCCTTACTTACAAAAAAAAGAAAAATACTACGGGGCTAACAGACCAAAATCAAACGCTAGGCAAGAACAAGAACAACACGATCGAATTGCTTTTTTATATTCGTACCCAGCTAGGTTTCCTATGAAACTTTTCGGTTATGTTTGAATTGATAGAAAGATATAGAATTGAAGGAATATGATTAGTTATTCAACTTGTCAAAAAGTAAAAACGACGGTCTGTATCTCCAATGGGTGAAGCATATCGATCTGACGATGATTGATGAGGTGATGGTACAGACCAAAGTTCAATAGTGGAGAAGATGATCCCACTTTAGAAGGTGAGGTACTCTATTTATAGGATAGGGAAAATTCTCTTTTAAAGAGGAAAATGTGATGTCATAGCTGTTTTAGTTCTATGGACCCACAATAGTGTGAGGGTGTGTGACTCTTGAGTGGAAAATGTCATGCATGAGGGGGATATGTATAACTAGGAGCCAAGTGCCCTGAAGGTAAGGTCATTCAATTGGTCCAAATGAGTTGTCATTGTTTAAGTTAGAATAGAATTAACATGATTAAATTTATTTCGTCTTCTTCCATTTAACATCTTGTTTTCTTTCCTTCAATTAAGAGTACGAATTAAGATCGGGAAGTGATTTTGTTCCTGGTTGGTTTTCACAATCCAATACCTACTGGCATATAAAAACTCGTTAAGAAGTCACACTCCTGCCTCTCGATAGGGAGAATATAGATCTTACTTTAAAAGATTTCTCACTTTCTACACAGCTCATCTATCGTATACGATAGTGGAGCAATTTCTCACCAACAACAATGAGGAGTGGAAAAAAACGGTTAGGCTCCTCTTTCTCTCTTATAGTATTAGGAAATATGATTTCCACCCGTATAAAGTCATATTCTCTCATTGAAGAGGCATCTAAAAATCACTATAGTCATGAGTTATTATTCTGCCAAAATCTAGAGTTGCTATGCTCATACACGATCTCCTCTTCTCAATCCCGCCTGAGATTGCACTTTCAGTATCTCTCATAGAGCTTTGCTTCACATCACTGCTACTTCGAACACCCACACAGAGATATATATCGCCCGTTACGAAATACAAACCAAGTCCCAAATCCACAACTTCAAATTTAAAATTAAATATGGAATAAATATACCTTTGCTTACCTTCTTATCATTTAAAGGAAACTTCCCTAGAGGCTAGAATACTGAAATGGAAACTTTCATCAATTGCGTATCAACCACCCCTTTATTCTCATCATTTTACATTATCGTCTTCCTCTCTTTTAATACCTGATACTTTTCTCACTCAAAGCCCCTAGAATATTTTATAATCATACAATTTTTATAAATAATTTTAATATTATAGTTAATTAGTTTTTGAAGTAAATTTGGACCAAACTAAGTTCAATTTTTGAACTGACTTGTTTTTGTATGAGCTTGTCTAACTAGTTTTTTTTGTACCATTTTAAAGTAGTGTTGAAAGTTTTCAAACACTCCCTTAAAATTATCTTGAAAATGTTCTTGTAATCAAATTACTTGCCTTTTGATTTATTGTTTCTGAAAATTACACAATCTTTTTAAGCAAAACTGTTATTGTAAGCAAAAGCCAAAAAAAAAAAAATGCCTTTAATTTCCCCAGTTTGACATTTGTAGAAAATGCGAAACAACTAAACTTGATGATTTTGTTTGCTTACTGTTTCCCGAGATGATAACAGTGTCAGGTTCATCGAAGGAAATGAAATATTATTTTGATTATTTTAAATGATGGCATATGTCTTCTGAAACACCGTGAACTAGGAAAATACTTCAAGAAAAAGTGGAACAAATAATTAGTGCTATGGATGAGTGTAGATCTTTTTGCACCATGTCTAGCCATTAGCATGGAAAGTTAGTTGCCACTTAACAATTGTTTGATAAACTAAATTTATGAGTTAAAAATATCAGTTTATTTTTAAATTGAACTTGATCAGAGTGATGTTGACTTTCACTGATTTAAATTAATCTCTCCTATAAAAATTTATTCAATACTGCTTGGTAATAACTTTGTTGTTTTTTATGAAACTTTTAAGGCTAACTTGTTGTTGATATTTATTAATTATGATTTTATTAAGATTTTAGGTAAACTTATTATTAATTGAGTCATGGAAAGAAAAAAAATCTTAAATCTGTTCAAGAAAAAGTGCTTGATTAAAAATTAATTAAACTAAACTAAACAACCAAAGGGGTTAAGATTGATTTAGTTTTGTTTGAGCATATGCTTAGAAGCAATATAATTGGGTTGATTTACAATAGGAAAACCCATTGGTTTAATTTATATGCTTTTAAAATTCCATACAAAAATCAAGATAAGCTTGGAGTTAACCTTTAGCTGTTTCTAGAAAAGGGATTGCTAGCAAGACACTTATTTTGTAACACTTTTTATTATTGGATAAAATTTAATATAAGTTCACGCTTTATGGATGGGACTAGCATGAGAAAAGAGAAGGTCAGAAAGTGTGTTACTGTTATATTTCTCTTTTTGTGTGTGTATTATTGTAGGGTTTTATAATTTTCATTTAACATGAGAATTACAATTTTCCTACACACCTTTCGATTTTCGTGATGACATGGGTTCTACATATAATTTTTTCTAACACATAGGTCTTATATGTTTTTTATCTCTACAACATGAGATTTCAATTCTCCTTCAACATGAGAATTATAAAACCCGTTATTGTATTTCTCTTTTTAAACAACAAAGATATTGGATAAATCTCTTTTTATTTTTATTTTTCTTGGTCTCATCAGACTGTTTTTTTGTTACGTTGAGTTTTATAGTGCCTTGGTAAATGTCTAACGCCTCCAAGCTGTGTTTCTGGATGAAGCTGTAGACTTGTCGCTTACTTATTTTAAACAAAAACAAACAATATGACCATGTGTTTGATACTACATCACCAGATGGCGATAGAACTAATATCTTAATTAATGGGGAAAACAAAATCTAAAACTAACCAATAGTTTTATCCGTGAAAGTCATTGGCAACAAATTCCAGCCTACTTTGATTGACCAAGAGTTTAACAGTGATGTCAAGAGGTAATGCCTTCAAACGTATGACAAGTACCCATGCTTAACATCTTGTCTCTCAAGTAAACCAATAGTTAATTTTGAATTCTACTCTATTCTGTCAAATCTTCAATCCTGGCATTGCTTCTTTTTTTCCTGGAAAGTTAATCCTTGCATTGTTAAAATCAGATATCCACGTCCATTTCAATAAATTAGTAAAGCAGTACAATGATAGCACGTATATAAATAAACCAGCATACACAGTCTTGCATACATGTAAGACTGAAACCGTAACAAGAGTTGTGTAAGAACTCATACCGTAAATTGGAATCTTAGAAGTTTAATAATAAATAAAGGGGAAATATTAGATAAAAGATCTGATTATTTTAATTAAAATAGGATAATTAGAAGGAAATTCTAAATTAAGTCACCTTTTTGATAAAAGGGTATATATAGGGGTGTAAATGGGCTGGGCTGAGCTGGGCTTTGGCCATCCTGGCCCAAACCTACGTAAAAAAAAATTCAGCCTATTTGGCCTACTGGCCTATTAAAGACTTTATTTGTAGGTCAAACCCGGCCCATTTTCAAAAATAAGAAAGCCTTACATGGCCTTGTAGGCCTCCCACTATATATACTAAACAAAAAAAATAATTGTATAGAGCAAAGAAAGTTGGAGGCAGAGAACCCATAAGTTCTAATGAGTTGTGAAGCCTTACTTAAGGTATAGAACCCATAACAAATCAACATAGACACTTATAATAAAAATCTAAGTCACAAAATGAGTAAACCATGCTTGCGGCTTTGGAAAAAACTCTTTAAGTGTTAGAAATGACAATATGTAAGTTAAAAATGAATGTGGTAAAGTAGGGTATGTGCTAATTGCCTTCACCTCTTTGAATGAGGTTGTGACATTGTTAGAGGCAGAGAATGTGATCTCTTGAATACATTGGAGGACATACCGGCGATAGGTAAGTTTTTGGTTCTCAGGGTTAATCCCCTGTTTGTTCCACCAAAACTCCATGGGATGGGTGGTTTAGTTGTATGTGTGATATATTATTGCTTTGTTAAATTGAGATATTATGCATGTGTATGACTGCCTTGTTGGATGGATATATTATGCATGTGGTTATTGATTATAAATTGAGATAGTACTATAATGCGGTCATATGTATGCATGTTTGTGTGTTACCATTCTAGGTGGTGTCCCATTAGTGTGGCGTCACGAGATTGGGAACACCTAGTGTGGGGTATCGAGGGAATCCTGATACTTGTATGTAGCAAGACATTGCATAAATCATACGATTTCTTCTCTAGCCAATAAGATTAATATTGCACATGCATAAGGATTACATGATGATTTATTATTATGTTTATTATTATGCATTGTTTTATGATGATTATATTAATTTATCATGATTATATTTAAAGTGAACTTGGGGACGGAGGAATCCTTTGAGAACTCCTAGTTTATTAAGATTGTCATCTCACTCCGTTTGGAGAATATTTTTCAGGTGCTTAGATTTATAAGATGGGTGCATATCGAGACAAGAGACCATCGTAGAGATTTTAGCATGACATGAGACATGCATTACTGTTATTTGATATGTTTACATTTACCGAGACATGATTACTATTTATCATATGATGTAGGTATATATTTGATATGAGCATAGTGATTGTCTATGTCATAATTAAATAATCCTCTTTATTGTTGATCGGAGAATTTGTATAAATTACACCATTCAGTATGAATGTTGTCATGATTACTTGATGTAATCTCATGACTGATTAAGTTATTATTTATTGATCTGAAACAGGATATGTAATTATTATTAAGATGTCTTATGTTACGAATAGCTAGGCAGGTTTTATTACTACATGATTATGATGTCGTTATCTAGTGTATGTTACTGAGATAATGGGACTATAAGACAAGAGACCCGTACATAATTGAATTGATAAGATAGACTTGTAACGAGGTAAAAAATAAAGAGTTGATGTTAGGTTATTTTTATAAATTGCAATTTATAAGGAAAAAGGAAAAAGTTTACTTACTATGTGATTTCAATATAAATTGATAACATAAGAATTAACTTCCGCATTTATTTAATTAAACATGCTGCGTATAGTATCATATATATATTAATACATCGACGGCGGACAGAGTGTTACAAGTTGCATTTGAATCCAATTCATGGTTTTTTTTTTTAAAATATTTTTCTCCCGGTTAAGGGCGTTAAGCATATTTGTTATTTTATGTGCAATCATGCTAAATTAATTGGTCCGTAAATTATGCCATATACTTCATGGGAATCTATAACTATTGTTACGGATCAAGTATTGCATATATTCTATCATGTTCGTAAAGAAGTAATAATATTTGTCAATGATACAGAGAGAGATAAAGACAGGGGGTTAGACTAAATAAGTTTATTAATCTCTATTAATTATATCAAACAAATAATTGACCAAAAATCGAACAAGAACAAGATAAATAATAAAATAAGCCAAGATGCATTGTATTATTCATTAATAGTAGTAATTCATGTCTAGAATGTTGCACAAGCAGTAACCTAAGAAATCAATTTATTCCAACAGATTATTGATAAGAGATGATTCACAGCCTGTGCATGCTCGTAATTTCGCTAATTAACCGTTATGCCCGAATTGTTTCTGGAGCTTTTGAACTACATTCTTGTCCAATTGAAAAGCTTTGGTTAGTACTTCTGAAGAGATAGGTGGATCAGATCCAAACACAGTGTCTGCTATGGTGATTACTCCTGGATTTTGGCTGCTAAGAGCACCAATGGCAAGAGCATTGCCATATCCCACGTTCTGCTGGAAATGAATGAGACCAATTGGGAATACAAAGACATCACCCTTGTTGAGCACTTTTGTAAAGAGACGATTGTTATTTTGATTGGATGTGACAAATCCAACAAAAAGAGTTCCTTCAAGGACAACAATGATCTCTGTGCCGCGAGGATGAGTGTGGGGAGGGTTTAGACCCTTTGGTGCAAAATCTATGCGAGCCAAAGATATTCCCATAGTGTTAAGTCCTGGTAAGTTATCTACTGTGACGGCTGTGACATTAAAGCCATTGGGGTTGGATGTGTCCCCAGAAATATCCAATCCACTAAAGAAGAAATCTTCAGGTTTGGCAAGCTTGGAATCCTTGCAGAATTTCCCATTCACGAATACTGCAAATTAGAAAAAAAAAAACAAAAAACTATACACTTAAGTATCAAAAGGATAAAGAAAAAAATGGTCACATAAACATGATGCATGATTGAAATATTGAAAACATAGCCTAGTTAATTAAAACTAATTAACGCACATATGTAATAATAAGTATATAATATATACCTCCATCCTTCATATCTTCTGTTGCCACACAGAAGTCTTGAAGAGGGCTGGGGTCATAAGCAGAGGCAAGAGTGGATGCCAAAGCCAAGAGGGCAACGAAGAAGTAGACAACTTTCATGTCGTTAACTTTTTGAGGATTGTGTTGTAAATTATTTGAGTTGGGTGTTGCATGGGAAGTTTGCTATTTATAGGCGTAGAAGGCATTGAACTAGTCTTCTTTTTTGCTAACTTGCAATAAGCAGATTAAGACTTGGCCAAGTCTTCACTGTAGGGATTGAAACCATTTAACTACTACATGCTTTCATTGATGAAATTGCCTGAAAGTAAAAACGGGACCCTTTTTTTCTAAAACGAGTATTGATTATCTTAATGACTTTACTCTGGCGTGCGAGGGTGTGGCATGATATTTTTTCAAACTTTGAAAATATTTTTGGGTTATGAGGTGCATGTATTAATTAGAGTGGCTATATTCGTAGGAAAGAGTCGATGAACCGGTCTTGATGCTGTGCTTGCCTTGCACGAAAAAGAGGAAATAAATGGTAATTGTACATGATTATGGAATTTATTGATCATCAACACCTGATTTTCTTTCTTTTTGAAAATTTCTTAGGCCTTGCTAGTGCTTCCTTAATACTTGAAAAATAAAAAGGATGAACTCTTAATTTGATCCTTTGAGAATTTACGTATCACTAGGGTGTAAATGTACCCGGGATATGTTTGTGTAAAATACTTCAGATTTAACTTGATTTATTAGCTTTGTGTAGGTCCAAATTATAATGCCCAACTTATATTTTGAAAACAAAAGTCTTAGTCTAAACTTTTTAGCCTATTTAAACTTATTAGATATTCAATAATTAAAATAATATTACTTTATTATTTAAAATCATTAAAATAATATTACGTTATTATTTAAAATTATTAAAATAATAATTTTATTTATTTTATTTAAAATAAATAATATGGTATAGGTCAATTTATAGGCCGAACCTTATAAAAGAAAGCCTATGACTTGTTTTTTAGAATTATTTTTTTTTAAATTTGAATATATTCTATTTTATTATATATAATAAGTTAGATTTGCTCCGATCTAGACGGTGCTATAGATACCTACTGGCCGCCTGACTCATTTACACCCCTACAAATCACTACATTAATCCTTTAAACAAGGTATAAGATGTATGGTGATAAAACCAGCTATGTACAATCAATCAGGTGGTTGAACGTTGTTCTACATATTAACTTGAGGATCCTTGTAAGAACCCGCACCGTTAATTAAGGAAATTAATTAATTAATTATGTTAAATTAGGAAATAATTTCATAATTGACTCTAATAATTATTAAGAGGCTTTAATAATTATGATAAGTGATTAAGAATGCTGAAATTCGCTTTTCGGAAGAAAAGTGCAGATACCGGTTCTGATAGTCAGTATAAATGCGTACCAAAAAAGTATCCCGGAAAATTATTATAAGTTCATGATAATTACTAGAATAATATGTAGGACTTGTAAAACGAGTTTCAAGTTAAAATAATGAGAACTGGTGCCAGAAACTGATACTGGCTATGAAAAGCGCGTACCAGAAAGGTGCTCCAAAAAATATAATAAAAATATAAATTCTTGTAAAATTGAGTAGGTTAAGAATCCTGAGTTTGAGATTAAAATGCTAAGCGTAGAAATTAACTATAAAACTGTGTGATTAACCTTTAAGTGGCTATAAATAGAGAGTGGCACAAAGACCTAGGTTAATTCCTTTGGTCCTCTACGTGGTGGCTGGTCAGCAGCTGGTGCTCCTCCATTTTCTTCTTTGTTTTGTTAGCTTTTCTTCACCTAAACCCTTCAAGACACCTCTTTTATGTGAGATTATCCACCTCTAGCCTTGCATACTTTGGGTGGTTGGCTTGTGAGTGAGTGGGGTGTTGCATTCTGATATGTTTAGCTGCTGTGTGTTGGGTTCTAGTGATGAGTTTGAGAGTTTTGGGTGAGGGTCATCTTGTTCTTGGCTTGAGAGGCTTTAAGAAGCCTTCTTTGTGAAGAAAGGGCATAACTTGTGTTGTCATTTTCGTATTTCCTTGAAGTCAGAACTGTGAGGACCCTTTGGTGAGCTCCAAGAGCACTCTTTCCTCTGTTTTAAGCTTTGGGGTGAGTTACCTTATCATGATCATGAGTTTTTATGGCTTAAAGGTGATAACTTTGCATGTAAATGGGTTAAGCAAGTAACCAGCTGGTAATAAACCTATGAGGGTATAAAAATGCATGCTTTAACGTGTTTAAGTGTTAAAAATGGAACCTTGGAAGGATATCTTTGCGAAAAGCAGAAACTGCATTCTGTCGCAAAATATCCGGATATCTGCTCGTAAAATATCCGGATATTGGATATCCGGATATGGGGATCTGGATATCTGGATATTGATATCCAGATATTGCCAGAGAGATATCCGGATATTGGATATCCGGATATGCCCCCGAGGAATATCCGGATATTCTGGGATTTCGTAGAACAGTAGTTGTGCTGTGTGTACAGTAGGCTATTAGGGGTTTATGGACCCTAGATTGATGAAGTTGAACTTCTGTAATTAATGAACTAAGTCAGAATCATGTTATTAAGGGCTTGTGGCTTTGTTAGAAGCCTTAAGACGTAAAACGTAAAGGAAAGACGTTGTCTTTAAGTGTATGCTTGTAGAGTTTGATTAATGATGTATTTTTGGTCCATAACAGATTGTGATACTGCTGTGTTTGGGCTTTGAGATTTTGTGGACTCTTGGCTTGGATAGCTAGCTTGCAAGGTAAGCTTTCGTGTCCTCGGTTTAGCCATGTTGTGGTTCCACCATGCCCCATGGGGTATGGTTATATGCATGCTGTGTTACATGCTTTTGATGTTTTGGAAATGCTGTTGAGCTGTTATATGCTAGTGCCTTTATGATATGCATGTGGTGTTCCACCTATACGGTAAGCCTGAGTATGTGGTACATACAAGATGGTGAGGCTGTGGGTGAGGTGCAAGCAGTGTTCCTTGTACTACATGTAGGTATAGACGTATTCCTGCATTTCTCTGGCCAGTAGAATAGTATTGACACACATGACATGAATATCTGTTGCACTGCATTGAGTTTTGGAACTTATACTGAATTACTGCTTTTGGAACTTATATTGCACATGTAAGTGAGCTTGGGATGAAAGATCCTTGAAGACCCCTTGTCTTACTGAGATTTCTGGTTTAGAGATCTCACCCCACGTTTGGGGAATGCTTATTTCAGGTTCAGGTAATGTGGGGGTTGAGACCTCTAGTGGCAGGAGGCCAGAGCTTAGCTGATAGATGTTGCATGTTTATGCTGCTATGTGTGATGTTGGATCCTGTTTTCTGTCTTATGCTTTTAGCTTCAGTTTATGGATTATTATGTTGAGACTTGGTTGATTATGTCGTTGATTTGGTGAGCATGGGGATTGTCCATGCCACATAGACTTGTTTATGTCTTGTTTTAGTTGGAGTTGTAATAATGTATCAGGATTATTGTCCGGACTACGGGTAGTAGATCCGTGACTTAGATACTCACATTTATATCTATATATGGAGGTATTTCAGTTAGATGTTTATTGCAATTTACATACAGGCGATATTTTATGAAATTGATTAAGTAATCAACTTGGCTAAGTATAATGACATCATAATTGAAAAGAAAAAGATTTTCTGCATTTTTAATTAAGCGTAGCTTAATACGATAGTATGATAACTTTACCGGGTATACACGGGGTGTTACAATCCTGATACGAAGAATTAGTACCTTTACAAGAGATAAGTATCTACATTAGTGATGTGTTTTTCATGAAAGAGGGTGCAACGAATGAATTCTGGTTGTATATATTTGGGTGCTTTAGAGTTCAATCCTCTGTATGTGCATATGATATGTCTTATATAATTAGTGTAGAGTAAAGTGAATATGATGAATCCCGATAGTGATGGCATGTTTGGTCAATAGTATAGGATAAAGTTTAATAATATAAAATCTGATTAAATTTTAATAATATTCATCATTTGGTATAGTATTGTATAAAATAATATATTATATAAGATAATATCATCTAGTATTTGATAATACACTATATCATACTAGATAGGATAAAAATAAATATTTTTAATAAAAATATCCTTTAATAAATAATTTATATAATTCTTCCAAAAATATTATATGATATCAATTTTTATAAAAAACCATTAATCAGTGTGTCCAAGAAATAAATTAATTTTTATAAAAATAAAATATCCAATATTTTAAATATATTAAATAATATATTAATTCTTCATAATTGCACTAGTTAACAATGTTAATACACCAACCCCTTATCAAGCCTAATCCCTCTCCCTTAGGCCGAATTAAGTTATACATCATTTCGATGTGTTAAGAAATTCTGCTGTATAAGCTTATACTATACAATGACCACACACAAAATTTAAAATGTCAAAACGTATAGTATAAACTTATACTATCAGGCCTTATACATCACACCACATAGGCCCCTAATATAAGGCATGATTGTATAAAACCTGATTAAGTTTAATACTATCCAGCGTTTGGCATAATATTGTATACGATAATATCTTGTATAAGATAATATCATCCAATGTTTGGTAATACACTGTATAATACTAGATAGGTTAAAAATAAATATTTTTGTCAAAAATACTTTTAATAATGAATTTACATAATTCTTCCAAATATATCAGATGATATTATTTTTTTATTGAAATATATTGTCAGTGTGTCCAAAAAATATATTAATTTTTATAAAAATTAAAATCTCGAATATTTTAAAAAATTATATATTGGAAAATTATTTTTTATTTTAATATACTAATATTAAAATAATATATTAATTCTTAAGATTGTATTGGTTAATACATTAACCTCTTATCAGGCCTAATCCTATCCTCCTAGGTCTGATTAAGTTATACATCATTTTAATGTATAAAGGGATCATGCTGAATAAGCTTATACTTTACGATGGTCATACCAAAATTAAAAATATCGTAATATATAATATAAACTTAAACTATTAGATGTTATACATTACTGGCCGTTAACGTGATACCGTAATTGGTGATGGGATCAGGATTTCAGGGGATTGAACATTATACTTTTTTTTGAA